TTTCGGACTTTTTTTTATTAAGTTTTCATTTAGTTTTATCAGAATCATTGGCAAAGTCGGACGCCATTTTTTTAATAGAAAATTAGAAGCAAAATTTCTCTAAGGAAAAGGCAGAAGAACTTGAAAAAACTAACCATAACATTGGTATATCTTTGTAAAACAAAACACGCCAAATATTTGAAGAACAATTTCTCAATATTTTTTAACTTCTATTATCAAGAAACTTGCAACTGATAACGTTCGATTTCGTGATCGCATACTGTTACAGATAGATGTGTATATTACGGTAAAAAAAAATTTGTTTTTGTTGTTGTCTTCAATTCATTACAAGTAAAGTCAACATTTCTTACATTATTCCAATGAATAAATATGATTTCAGAACATGCAGAACTGCAATAGTTATAGAATATTCTTCTTCTTTATAGAATAGTATATATTTCTGTATCTATATAACTCGGAAAACAACAATAAAGAATCATCCGAGTTACTTGAAATGGTATTCATTTGCGCTGATTATTAATAAATTTTTATCGTTTTCTTGGTAAGTATTTCTTAATCTTGAAGGAATAATTTCAACTAGAATTCAGCTATTCTGTTTTTAAGTTACATATTGAAATTCATATCGAGATGTTGTTGTGTGTTATATCATCTAAAAGTAATGAAAGGATAATCCATGTATATATAATTTGAGAATAAAATTTTCAAAAGAAGAATATTTCATATGGAATTCTCCGGATATATAAAGCAAGTAAGTGTTATGATTTTTATAATAAAAAATTTACTCGTAAATAAATTGTTTTCTATTTTGATGATGGTTCTTTACAGAATGATTTTTTGCATCTGATTAAGAACTTTAGGAATTAAAAAGAGAAACAATATAAAATTTCTTTATTTCAATATGTGGAATTTTTAGAATCGTTTCTTCTTATCCTAAGAATTCTTAATTTTACGCTTTTTAGTTTGTAATTTTTTGATAAAAATTGTTGTCAAAAAACTTCTTTTATTTCAAAATTAAATGGTTTTATATTATGTATATTTCTTGCATATTCTAATGTTTGAATTATATGACTCAGAAAAGTAAGGAATGTAAAGTTTAAATAGACCTTTCATATTAGATCATTAAATTTAGTAGAACGATTTCTCAGGCACTAGGTTTTAACTCTAATAAGAAGATTTTTTACTAATATTTTCCAACGTGTGTTGGATGTTCCTTCTCTAAAAAAACGAGATTCCATTTTGTTTTCACTTGCATAAGAAAGAATATCAAGCATTTTTTTCTTTTTTTAATTTAATAAGCCACAATAAAGAAGGAACGTTACCATGCTACACTGAAGAAATTTCCAGTGCAACTGATGGTCGTGTTGTTCTCCTAGTAGACATGCTGCTAGTCGTCGCAAATAACGACTCCCAGGGCCGGGATAGCCTGGTCGGTAGGGTGCTGGGCCCATGTCCGAGGGTTCGTGGGTTCGAACCCAGCCGGCCGAAGATTCCCCGTTTAGTAAAGTAACTGATGCAGGTTAAATCAGTCGAGTTGCAAAAATTCTCCATGTTCCCATAACAAATCAATAATTCTGGGGATACTGGATCGGAGATCAATCGTTCTCTGATTCAGGTCAAAATTACGATGGATGGATGAGTGAATGGATGTATGAATGGGTCCGTCCTATAAGCGGGTGTGACGCATGGTGTGGCAGAAGTCGAATTCTTGGCCATAGATGGCGCCACTGGAAAACAAGAACAATCGCATCCCCTCCTGACCTAAACAGACATGCGTCAACAACAGCATCCACACTCAAATATACGTTTAATGACAATAAAATTGTGTAATGAACAATAACTAGAAATTATTACAGAGCCGCTAGAAATTGGTTTTTAAATCTATAAATTAAAAGAGAACTTATTCATATGTTAATATCGACATTCCCGTCATTCAGGAATTTTATGTGTTCTTCAACAGTTTAGTCGAACTTAGACAAAAAAACGTTCAAATATGATTAATTACGTTTGAGATTATCTAAGTTTCAGATTAAATAAGTTTGTTATTATAAGTGATTATCTATATTATCGTCTTAATTTTTATTCAAGGTTTTTATTTAATATAATACTAAATATTTGACTAAATAAGTTTCATAAGATCAAAAACTTATTATTTTTTTTATATTTTAACGTTTAATAAGTCTGTTTATTAACTAATAATTGGCTCACGTAGAAAAAAAGATATAGAAATTTTTAACATACTCGCTATCGCCTGTAGTTACGAAAATTTCTAAAGTTGAGCTAAATTTCAAAATAGCTACGTAATCGTAGTTTTGATCCCAAAATTCTGAAAAAATTATTTTGATCAATTTTCCTCAAGAACGACTTTTGTACAAAAAATTTTCTTTGAAATTTGACGACAACGGTCATTGGTTGATAGTTTCACTTGGAAAGAATTGTTTAATTTTTGTCGAGGCTACGCATGATTATTATATTTATTAATTTTTGTGAAGATTAAGTTAACTATTGTTATTAGATATAGACAAAAAAAAACGTAATTTATTTTTATTTTTGTTACGTAAGCGTAATCTAAAATTCTCAGCCAATGCTATCCATAATAACAATAAAAATAACTCTATCTATAATAATTTGTTTATTATTTTTGATGAATAACCTATAAATTATTTAATTTTAATAGTTTTTAAGTTTTAGCTGTATCCTTCCTATGAGTAACCCTGTTCGTGAGCCACTAATAAAGAGGATTAATTCCTTCTATGTTTCAATGAACCACCCTGAAGAATTACTTTCGATTTAATGATCGGATCTTCACGTTTTTGGACTCAATCTTAATGGTTCTAGGGAATAACCTCAAATATGCTAATTAATTAGTGCAGAGGATATTTTAAGTTACGAAATCAGGCACAAAAACGTACTTTTTCTAAATAAACATGCCTTTTTCAATGCGCATTCGAATTTGCTGTCTCAAAAATTTAGGGGGTAGCCGCAGTCTTGGAAATGTGGTCCTCATAGTTTGGCTAGGAGAGCGATTCAAAGTTAAGACCAATAAATTTTAATTTTACTTTTTGCGTATTTCACCCTATTTCTAGAACTTTTTTCGCAGATTGAAACTTTCTTGCACACAATTATAAAATTCGTTTATCCAAACACAGTACTACTGCAAAAAATAAATTTTAGTAAATATTTATTATTTTATTTAATAGTAGTCTAAAAAGTTTTGAAATGTAAGGTGTAAAATTTTTTCATTACTTTAAAGTATGTAATTTTACATGGAAAAATACACAATTCGAGCAAAATTGGTTGAATAGTTCCTGAGAAATCGAATTTTAAAGAAGTCGTATTATTAAAATTCGATTTCTCAGGAGCTATTAAGGCGATTTCGCTCAAATTTTGCATTTTTCCATGTAAGATCATTTTGTTTAAAAAAAATAATGCAAAAAAAAAAAAAACCTTACAATTCAAAATTTCTTCAAGCATTTTTAAGTAGAATAATAAAAATAATAAATATTTACTAAAAATTTATTTTATACATGGAATTATCTTTGGATGAACGAATTTTATAATTTTGTGCTCAAAATTTTTCAATTCGTTAAGTTTTCAGGATAGGGGAAAATACGCAAAAAGTAAAATTAAGATATCAAAACTTCGGCTGTCCGAACCCAAACTATTGGGACCATATTTCCCAAATTACGGCAACTTATTACTATAGGGTCATATATTTGATATAGGTATATTTGAATCCATTAAAAAAAAAGTTTGGTATATTCAGAGAAAGTACAATTTTGCGTCTGACTTCGTAACTTAAAATTTCGTCCTCACTTATTATATAATAGAGGTCACCCCCTCAAACCATTAAGATTGAGTCCTGGTACGTGAAGATCCGATCATTAGATCAAAAGTTATTCTAGGTGGTCCGTTTTTTTATTTCGCGCTCTGTCCGTGAAAGTCAACTGTGTTATTCTTCATAATAATAATAATAATTTATTAGATTTATTAATTTTGGTAACTATCTTGCAAACTAATTAATACTAATAGTTTTAAATTTTCAGGATAATTCCTCCTGTGATTCTTCCAACCCTTTAGGAACGATGATTTATTCGTTCTTTATGTATGGGCTGGGATAACCTTGCCGGTTGGGAGCTGGTACCATATCAGAGAGGTCGTGAGTTCGATCCCTGCCGGTGAAAGACTCCCTTTGTACACAATGGAGACTGTTGCAATCTAAATCTGTCGGGGTTACAAAGTCCCCCAAGTCCTTATAACAAATAAATACCTCCGGGGGTACTGGATCGGAAATTGATCGTGCTCTGAAATTTAATCATTGGTAAAATTACGATCTTTTGGACGGATGAATGTTGTCTCCAGATCACCGACCGTCGCCAATAGCCCATTGTGAGTTCTAGTGCGACGTAAATAAAAGTACCGTATCCATCTTTATATACTATATGAAAGTAAAATCGTCATTACATTAAAAAAAAAAAAACCTTTTATTCTCTTCGCCTAAACCTAACCGATAATTTTAGTAAATCGAAGTTATCACAATAATAATAATAATAATTAATTTTTATCAATGTCTTGTAAACTATTTCATTTTAATAGTTTTTAATTATCAAGTGAATCCTTCCTCTGACTCACCCTCATGCTGAGCCACTAATTATGATGATTAATTCATTGATTTTTCTTCTTTTTAGTGATTTCGCAAATAAAGTTGTTTTTCTCCGCTTACAAATAATTTTTTACTCTCATCTTGTTACCTAAAACTAATGTAAAATTCGAGTGAGTTGATATTGCAATTAGAAATGTTACTAAATCAATAAAAAAGTTGCGACACGACATTTTACTTGATAAGCAACAGTATCGTTTTTATCAAGTTATTTTATCTCTTTCTCCAAGAAAGCTTACAAAATAATCCTTAGCTGTCTAATTTTTATTTGGCAAAACTTGGCGTTTTACTTCAGAAAACTAACATGAAATGCTCGCCCTTACAGCAACCCTATTTTCAGCCAAGAAAGCATCAAACACGACTTACAAAATCCAGCCAGCAGTTTCACTCAAATCGAAGTTATGTGGTTGTTTGGATGTGCGGCTGACGTGAGTGATAGTGTTTGTGTAAGAAGTGCGGAATCGATAGGGATTTAATACGATTCGTTGGATACAAAATAAACATACACTAGAATCGTTATTGTTCCTGGAATTTCGATTATGTGAAAGTGTGAAAAAAGTAGTTAATATATCGGTTTCTTAGAAGAAACAAATAAAGCAACTTCATACTGGCCTTGGCGATTGTCCTTGAAGCCAAGTTGCATTCCTTGGCATTTTTCCACGTGCATTACACGCATAGAATTATTTTGGTGAGTCATCTCCGCCCTCTTTTTTTATTATGATTATATTAAAATTCAATAAATAGCATTTTATTATGGTTTTCAGGCAATAAACCATACTAGGGTGTTAATTCTTCTAATTTGCTTACTTCCTACAATACAAATGCCGGCTTTTGAATTTCCTGTTTTTTCTAATAGAATTCTTATAAATTTTTCCTTTATTTCTGTCCATTGAGTTAAAATGAGACATTTTAAGTCTTCTTATCTGTTTTTTTGTGTATTTGTATTCGAGAAATAATCATATTTCAGTGGTTCTCAATTTATAAATTTTTTTAGAAAAGAGATTAGTCGCCAACATCGCCAAGTATCTAAGTACCGAGATCCTTATTTACGATAAATAATATTTGGAATCATTCTTTATTGTGATTCTTAAGTAAAATTATTATCAATAGTAATGTTTTCTTACTTTAAATGTCGTAAATATTGTATTAGATCGCATATTATTTGACATTTGGCCAATGTTTACAAGCTAAAGCTAAGCCTAAATGCTCGCTATGTAAACAAAGTAATGATTATCGTAGGTTTTGAAAATATATAGTTTATGATATGAGATTTTTACCAATAGTTTTTATTAAGACTTGTTAATTTTAATTAAAAATGCCTTGTAGGATTAACTTGGTTTATAAAACGTTTTTCTCTAAAAAAGAATATTGCTTTGTTTTGGACAATAACAATATGCAATACCGTTCGTTTACTTTATAATTTGCCTGCTGTATTAAAATCTATCAGTATATGATTAAAGTATGTATGAATAGATTGTTGATTATTCTATAATCATATGATTCTTTTAAATAATGCTTAAATATTATCAGTGTTTCTAGATTCAAAAGTAAACGTTATATTTAGTTTAGTTCGGCTGTAAAACATTGCTAGAAGTACTTTATGATCTCAGGACAACATTCTAAAGCATACCTATGCATATATTGAAGTGCCATTGACTTGAGAAATCTTGCATACCATTATGTTTGATTAAAATTATCTTAGTATTTTTATCTTGTCTGGTGTATCACGATTTTATTTTAGTTATTTTTCCATTTGAATTGCGTTTGTTGTTAAAATTTGTGGATAGATTCTATACTGATTTCCAAAATTTTTTTTAAACCTTAATAAGGAATCTTTATTGTTTATTTGATTTTTTTGAGGCATCACAGTAGAGGCAAAAAAATGCTTTTACACATTAATATAGATTTTTATTTTCTTAAATTAATGGGGAGATTTCCGTATCATGATCTGCGGTAGAATAATTGCCAAGCCTTGGAAACTCCGGGCAGTGGCCCTGTGAGAAACTAAAAAAGACATCACAGAAAGGGACCAATTCGAAAGGTATAACTCGTAGCCATCCCCGGAGCTAACACCTACATGTTATTTTTAAAATTTTTTGCAAGTTTAAAATCTATTTGGCATCTTGGCGATTGTAGTTGGCGAAACTGATCACGATACTGAAATATCCCCCCCCCCCAAAAAAAAATCACAATTCAATATAGTTTGCAGATATTATTTGGGCAATGTATATCAGAGAAATGAAAAAGCATTTGCTTCAGAATATGACTAATGCCGAGAAGTAGAAAGTGCTAAATATTGCGACTTAAATCGCAGCATAAATAATGCTTAGAGCTGAACTATTTTTTGTCAGTTTCTGTATCACAATTTACACCCAGTTCTCGATGGAAATTTTATATACGTGTTTTATATTATTATAATTAGTGCCGTGTTTCATTATGTAGGCATTTATCGTTTATGTATAATTTGAAAATAAACTTAATAAGTTGTCCTTGTTTTGGTGTTTGTAAAAATAAAATTATTGGTATAAAATTATTATCATTGATGTGCGATCTTTCATTTTGTAAATTGGAATTGCAATGTGTGGTTTTAAAACATGTAAATGTTATTTTAAACCACGCTTGCATTGGTGGGGAAATTTCCGTAGTGTGACCTGTGGCAGAATGATCACTAAGTCTTGGAAGCTTCCGAGCAGCAGCTCGATCAAAAATATAAAAAAAATGTCACAGAAAGGGACCAACTTGAAATGTATAACGTAGTCACCCACGAGCAAACCTCAGGGGTCTGTCTAGGTTTTTCTGAGAGGTACCTATTTTGTGAAAATTTAAACATAATTCGTGAAAATTAAAAATAATATTAAAAAATCACAAAAAACTGGTAAAAATGTGTATTTATCGTTTCTTACGGGATACAGAAATAAAATTTTAAAAAGTATTTTGTGAAGCTACTGTTTTTCCAAAATTTGAAGGTACCACTAAATGGTAGTAAATTTGATCTGGACAGACACCTGAGCATCTACATGTTTTTTTAAAAAAATTTGCAAGTTTAAAATCTATTTGGCACCTTGGCGATTGTAGTTGGCGCGTCAGATCTGGATACAGAAATATCCCCTTATTGGTAGGAAAAAGTGTAAAATTCTTTTTATTCCTGGGGTGTTTAAAAAAGACACTTCTTTTGAAAAGGTTTTTTTGCAAACGGCATTTGCATAAGATATTACACATAACTGGGAACTGTATCATTTCTATAGAACAGTTAGAAATTATTTTTTTTTAATAGTAATTTTGCCCTCACGAAATTTGGAAAAAAAAAGGCTACTGCTCAAATGGCATTGAATATTTAGATTTTAATAATTAAGTTGGATTTAATTCAAATTAAGTTAGATTTAATTCTAATTATTCTAATTTCATAATTCCAGGGTGCGTAGCTTTTTTAAAAAGTGCTTAAAGATGCTTATTTTTGATTTATGTTTTTTAAAATCCCTTAAAGGTGCTTTTTTATTCGAGGTTTGTAAAATTTTCTATCTTTAAAAAAGAGATTATTTATTTGCCGTGTCAATTGTAATTGTAAAAAAATGCATTGATTTTCACAATTTTCTCTGTAATATTTATCAGAAACTGGTTATTTTATCATGATTACGTTAAGTTTTTGAAAATGGTTTTGAATTTTATTGATTTTATGTTTAAAAATTAAGAACTTTAAACAATAGAAAAAAAATAATTTTTATTACTTCACATAGCCTAATTATGATTTTTTTTTTTTTGAAAAGTGATTAAAGATATTTTTTGAGTGCTTAAAAAGTGCTTATTTTTTGTTGAAAAATCTAGCTACGCACCCAGTATTCGAATTTAATTATTTCTCATGATGCTACCAGATAAGTTACTTTTAATCAACAAATGTTTTGTGTTCAAATGTTTTCAATATGATAAGCATACTAAACTCAAAATATTTCTCAGCATAAACTGATCTAGACCAAAAAATCATAATTATTATACTTATGTAGTCATTATATATTTTTTAAATAATTGTTATATATTATATTTTTTTAAAATAAGTTATGCTTTATTTGATTTCAATGGGATATTTTTAAAGATACTTTTAAATACCTAAGTTAAAAATTTTGATAAATTTTATAATTATGATTGAAATATTATTCAAAATTAATTGCCATTAGATTTTCAACTATATTACTGCATTAAAAACTGGCTAATACACGATTCATATAAATGCATGAATGTATAAACAGATAAAAAAATTAATTTCATTAGTTTTTTCTTTTTTAATATTCGAAATGGCAATTTTTTTTAATACCTGAAAATTCATAATAAATACTGTTGACTATACAATAACTACTGTCTTGATTTAGAAATATGTGTCCCTATTAAAATAGGGAGTAGGGATCACTGCGATTTTCCTGAAGGTTACTTCTGATTTTTGTTTTAAAAAATAACAAAACTCGCTGGTGATTTTTTGTAAAAAGTTCAAAATCAACAAATACACTGGTTCTTTCTGCAACGTTAAAATAAGGTCCTGTTGATATAGGGGAATAGCCGAAAAAAAAAAGTATTTTATTTAAGTTTTGTGGTATATGAAATTATGTCCATTTATGGTTCATTTTGAAAATGTTCTGAGCAGTCAATTAACAAACCCAAATTTTTCTGACATGACATTTGGCTTCATTTTATGATTTATGTGTATATATATATTTTACTGGACCGCAGATGCATGATTTTCAGTATTTTTACTGTATTCAGTAGTTTTTGATAGGTGTTTTCAGTATTATGTGCAAATTTTTAAATTGAATGTTGACATATTGGCATTGCTATGCCATTTCAGTATTTTTTATGTTATAGTTGGGTCACGTTTCTGTGTACTGTAAACCATTCAATATAAAATATCTCACATGATGAGGATCCGTCACGTTGCGTTTTCTTATAAGATATTAGATAAATACCATGGGGTGAATAAAAAAAAATAGAGAATCAAAAAATCAGTACTGAGAAACACTATAAAATCATGCTCAAAACTGAACGGCATATACCGACACACAATTAAAGAACCAGGTAAGTGACATTTTTAGAGGAATTAATGAATCAGAGAAAATAACATAAAGTGATTATTATTAGTCCCGCCTTCTAATAAATTGGTAATATAATTCTTCGGATGCAACTTTTTCTTTTGTTCTAAATATATCGCTTACCTGGTTAGATAGTTTTTGATTACTATACCTTTTTTTTATTATTTAATATTACTTGTACCACTTTTTTGGTGGCTATTGAAGTCAGCAAAACTAGTTTTTTGTAGTTCATCCCATTAGAATAAAAATAACATGTATATAGCATCACTTGGGTATGATGCTATTGCTCAACTCATGATAGTCAAATTTTACCACTATCAAGTAATTTTCTACGGTGCACATCTTTTTCGAGGGGCCATAAAAAACACTTTTTTCCAAAGTACCAGATTAAAGCTGCTTAGTTAGGGTGCAGTTTTAATAATCCCCAAATATATCAATATATTATTTTATGTCTATATTATTATATTTGGTACTTATTATGTAACCCTCAACATTTGAGTTTTGGGCAAAATACCTACATGTGTCAGTGACTGCCAGCTAAATCTGAATATTAAAATAAGAAATAGAATTCTTATTTTGATAAGGATTTTGAAACATAACCATTTCTCTATCTGAC